GAACGGAGATTCTTTGAATTGAATAACGACCGTAACGGCTGTCGGCTCAATCCGAAGGAAATTATGCGGAAGCTTTACAGAATTATTATGAAGCTATGCGACTAGAAATTGATCCCTATGATCGAAGTTATATACTCTATAATATAGGTCTTATCCACACAAGTAATGGAGAACATACGAAAGCTTTCTTTTGTTCATTGGAGCGCCGGAGTGCGGAGGTTGTTCCCATCATTGAAGTCAGGGTGTGGGACTGAGCCTTCCGAATGAGAAATAAAAAAGTGCTTAGTTTCGTTGGAAAAACCAACGCAAATATCATACATATTTACTTTCTCTCGCCCTACTTCTAAAGATAGATAGAAAAGGAAAGGTGAAAAGAACCCTATTTAGGGAGTGCAATAGAGAACCTGAGATCCGATGCGAACAATCAGTCGAAGGAGCGGAGCTTAGAGCCTTTACTTTATGTAAAGCGCACTCACTCTAACGGCGTACCTTTTGCATGATGGGTCAGCGAGGAAATGGGAACAGCGGCTTAAGCCATTAGGTGTAGGCGCTTTCCAGAGGTGGAATCTTCTAGTTCTTCCTATTTGACCCGAAACCGATCGATCTAGCCATGAGCAGGTTGAAGAGAGCTCTAACAGGCCTTGGAGGACCGATCGATCGATCTAGCCATTACGTGCGACTATCCCCACTATAGAAAGAAAAAAAGAAAGAAAAATCGTGTGGGCAAGGTTCTAGAAAAAACAGAGGCTTTCTACATATGCATCGTCTAAAACAACGATTTTTATCAGCTGTAGCAAAGAAAGAAACTTCATAGAATTCGAAATTGGGAAGAAGCCTAGCAACTTTTTCTATGGATAAAAAGGATCTAATTGATAGAATATAGAGGAAGCACCGTAAAGATGAAATTGCGAGGTTTTGGGCCAATACAATAAGAACTGCGTACGTATGTCATGATGGGAGAAACACCTATCTCATGATGTGAGATAAAAATGAGGAATCAACTTATGTAATAGAGTCGGTCCACTAAAGTCTTGAGCAGCGGTGTAGGATCAGATCAAGCACAGGAACGAGGGGAATACTTAGTAAGAACAAAAGAGGCTAAGACGAAGGTTGGTTCAAGGGTACTATAAAGGCGGTATGGAACGCCGTTGATTGGCTTTATAATAAGTAATACTAACCTTCATCCGTTGCACGCTGAAACTCTTTTTTTCTTTATAAAGTGAAGTCTAGCTAATGGAAAGTGCCTATGAATGAGTTCCAAGAAAGCGGCCCTGAACCTCAGGGCTTTTAGGAGGTAAGTTGGAGATCTACTCGCTTTCACTTTCTTTTTTGTCCAGATTGGGTTGGTGTGAAGTGTACCTTAGTACACGATCGAAAAGAATGCATGGCATTCCAATGTTATGAAAAAGGGAACAAGGAGTATGAAGGAGCGAGAGTACAGAAGTACAGAGCTTTCATCATAATGCTTTTCGCCCCTATGGAAAAGATCATCAGAGAGGAGACAACGCATTTACCGAGAAAAAAAAGGAAGGATCAAGAATGTTCTATATTTCAGGAGCTAGATCAGTTGTAAATGCACAAGTCAGAAGTGCCTCTAAAAGAATTTATGGAATTGGCCCTATAAAAGCCATTCTGGTTCGTTATCGATTTCTAGTAGGAACAGCAGAAACTACCACTACATGCCCAGCAACATTTCCTAAATCCTTCTGCGAATGGCTGGGTGGAATTATCGATGGGGATGGTTGCCTGCAAGTAAAGAACCAAAAATATCCTACTCTTGATATTACTATGGGACTCGAAGATCTCCCACTACTACGATAAATCGAACAACATATGCTTTGTGGCAGTATTACAATGGAATCAAATGATAAAAAAGCTTTTCGTTATCAACTATGTAATAAAGCCGGAATGATAAAACTAAGAAATTGTATAAATGGGCATATTCGACATGAAACACGACTACTTCAACTACATCGTGTCTGTCAAGTGTTGGATATCCCGCCCATGGAACCTATTGCACTAGATGCTCAATCAAATTGGTTCGCAGGTTTCTTTGATGCTGATGGGCACATTGGTATCAATATGAGAAATCCACCACGAGGACCTGAACTAAGAATTGTAGTAACTAATAAGCTTCGCCAAGATGTAGAGTCTTGGAAGGTAGTATTCGGAGGAAATATCTACTTAAATAGAAATAAAAAAGAAGGTTGCTATAGGTGGTGGGCACAAAGTCGAAAAGATGTGCTTTTTATGCTTTCTGACTTTCAATCTAGTACTTGGAGAAGTCATAAAGCGCGCCGATTCTTACTTATTGAGGAATTTTACAGGCTGATGGACCTCCGGGCATTGAAACCGGAAAGTATTCACAATAAGGAATGGCTAGCTTTCCTAGACAAATGGAATCAATAAGTTGATGATTGAGTCCCCCTTTCTTGTATTGTGAAGTCTAGATTCTCATTCTCGTTATCTAAAGTTATATCCTTTCTACTTTTTCGGGAGCAGCTATCGGTCTTGGA